TATTCAATTTTATTGGACTTTTTTAAATTTATTTTACAAACTATTCCTTCACAGATTTATGCACCAAACCTTTTTAACCAGTTTAAAAAAAGCAGCAGTTTCTCTCCAGTGCAGCATCAGTGTTTAAACATTTCACCAAACGATAGAAGGAGAAAACCTCAGTTTTTGCTTTGGTCCTCCAGAGAAAAAGCTCACGAAGAGATTTGGGAACCGTGCTGTTCGCTCCTTCTGTCGTTTTTTTCAAATGTTTATTGAATTAAAAAAGGTGCCAATCCCGGCATCCTGGTCTTTTATTTTACATTTTCACATCAGAATATTAGAGTAAACTTGTTCCAGGGGTCTGTATGAAGCATCGTCCCACGTCTTCCTCAGGTCATTATGAGGAGAAATCTCTGTGGAGACAAGAAAAGTCTCCGTTAGAGGACAACGTCAGAAGATGTGAGTGATAAGTGTGACTGCTGACTTTGAGACTCCGACCTGCAGGAAGTGGAGGTCGTCTTCAGTCTGTGAAAGCTGCTCCACCTCAGTGTGTTTCCTCCGCAGCTCACAGATTTCTCCCTCCAGCTGTTTGATGAGCTCTCTGCTTTGTGTCCTCGTCTCCTTTAGATTCTCGACGTGACTCAGTCTGTCTTGAATAACCTGCTGGAGTTTCATCGTCATCCGCTTTAATTTAACCTGTGGAGAATAAAAAGCTTGTCATGAGCAGAAGCATGTGATACAGAGTCAGTGTAGTTTCTATTAAAACCAGAGTGGCATTGTTCTCTCAGAGCAGTTTACTGTTTACTTCCTCTTGAAATAAGTTGTGTGTTTGTTTTGTAGACGGAAAGTTTGAGCCACTTAAAGAATTGAGGCACAGATACAGGAATTTTGTTGGACATCTTTTTAAATTTGCAACATGGGACATATTTCACTGTCATTAACTCGCAGGGAATAGTGCTCAGCTCCTGAGTTTCCACTGAGATTAGTTTTTTCTTTTATATTTCAACAGCAAGAATTAGACAATCGTGTGCAGGGTTCTCCGGCCTTGGCGGAGGTGCGTGCTCCGACCGTCATTCTCAAGTCGTTACCTTCTTCTTTGCAGCCTCTTTGTTAATCGGAATGATGTGATGGCCCCTGTGTTCTGTCTGGGCACACATGGCACAGATGCATGTCCGGTCGCTCCTGCAGAACCTGTCTAATGGCTTCCCATGCACTCTGCACACAGGCTCCTCCAGGTTCTTCGCCACACTGATCAGAAGATGACGCCCAAGGTCCTCCCTCTGGTAGTGCAGCTCCAGGTGAGCATCACAGTAGGAGGCCAGACACACCAGGCAGGACTTGACTGCACGACGCCTCGCAGGGCAGAAATCACAGGGAACCTCGCCGGCTTTTAAAGGTGCAGCCCCGTCCTGGCTCCGTGTGGTGGGCTGTGTCTCGAGCTGGGGTCTGGTGGGGAAGAAGGCCTTGCAGAGCGGGCACTGACAGGAACCACTGATCCTCCAGTATTCTCCTATACAGGCCAGACAGAAGCAGTGTCCACAGGGGAGGGACGTGGGGCTGGTGAACTCATCCAGACAGATGCAGCACTTTGGAGGCTCTGACATCTGTGTGTCCTCGCACATGTGAACACGAGCAGGCAGATGAACTCTCTGACGGGGCGTGGTGCAGATAATGATCTGTTCTGTCCAGAAAACAGTCGCATGAGCACAGATTTGCATCAGCAATTTGGTATAGTTAACATTTCTGTCCCACAATTAAAACATCAACAGTGAATATTTAACCTATTGCTTTTTAAACTATAACTAACAATAATTAATTAATAATTAAGCCACTGGAATGAATCTTTTAAAGATCATTTGTGACACAATCCTGTGACACAATCCTGTGACACAATCCTGTGACCTCTGAAGCCTGAAGTGAGTATTTAAGAGACTTGGATTATTCAGTGGGAAAACTCAGTCGTCCATAGTTAACACAAGTGGAAGTGGATTAATAGGATGAATGGTTTACTGGTGAATTATATATTTCACGTACGTAAGAGTGATTAAATAGTTTAAATCTATAGCTTCTGTTAAATTTGAGTTTATATGTAAATCTGCTTGTTTGTGTCAAAAGATAATTATTCATCTCAAGTAAACTACAAACAGTGTCAACCTCACTGCTGGTGTTTACATTTGACTAAACATAGTATATAGTAGTACAACCGTACTGCAGTAATCTAAATGTATAAATAACGTAAATAAAACACCATTAAGATAAAAATCGAAAAGTCTCGAACCTCCCCCGGCCTCCGGCGAGTGTTTCTTGAGGTTGCAGCAGTGTTGAGTTACGGTCGAATCTCTTGGTTCCTCTGGAAAAAGGTGAAGACACACCTCTGCTGGACTCTGTCACTTCCTGGAAACTTGTGAAACTCACCTGATGAAGCAGGTGGTGACGTTTCCTCACAGCGTCTCAGCTCATTCCAGTAACCATCAAACACACGCACTCGTTTTGATCTTTGAACTTTTATTTTAGTGAGAACTTGTGTTCACCGAAACATCAACAACAGAGATATGTCATATTTTGACAGCATTGAAACATTTACAAGTTATGATTATAACTTGTTAAAGTTTTTTGGATTGTACTGAAGTAAATTTATAAGCACTTTGGTGATAGAGTTGTTTTTTTTTAAGCCTTTCCACAACCAGAAGATTACGAGAGAAAGTGTTTAAGGGTTAGAACAGAAGGTGTGTCCGTCAAACTCGCCCAGTAACTTTATTATAACAATGAAAAAGAAAACACAAACACAACCAAACCCATTGAACTTTAAATTGTTTGAGCAAACTGTCAAAGTTTTATCGGCCAAACTGAATCCTAAGACCTGAAGAACGACTGATCTTCCATGCCAGTTATGACCAAGGGCTCGGATTTCTTGGCCCAGCTGTAAAGATAGAAGTACGGGAACAGTGTCTGTGTGAAGCTCTGTCTCGTGAAAGAGTGAATGTGCAGCTTCTCAATTACATCATAGAAAGAGACTCTTCCCTCCTCGTAGTCCAGATAAACTCCCACTCTTCTCGGACGGGGACTCAGGTGGAGAGCTGTGGCGGGGGAACAGTGAACCTGATAATCCAGGCCCCTCTTTCCGATGGAGAAGAATCCATTGTCTGTTTTCAGAGTGACCCTCGCTGTTTTGTTTACCGTTTCCTTGGCAACCCCAACATCCCAGTCGTTTCGATGGCCCACTTGGACTTCCCAGTAGTGCCGCCCGGAGGTGAAGCCCTTCTTCCCCAACACCGCGGGACGGTCGAACCTGTCTGGGCCGTCGGACAACGTGGGGCTTGCATTTTTTGAGAACTTCAGACGTTTCCCGTACTCGGTCACCACGAGGCCGCAACCGGCAGTTTCTTTGTCGAAGGCGACGGACTCTGAAAAAGTTCTGTTCAGTTTGAAAGCTCTCATCTTAAGAGAAATGGAGTGAATTGAAAAATAAATTCACAAATCTCACCTTTATACTGTCTCATTCTGGTCAGTTCTGTGAGGAGTGAGATCACAACATGGTGACGGAGAGACATCACAGTCACAGATCGAGTGAATCCTACAGATATTTATATTTACCTGTGTTTGTCTGAGTTTTCAGTTCCGCTTGAAAAGTGCTCACGAGATGAGACACGGCTCTCCTCAGGGTCTGCACATACAGGTCCGAGTAAACCCTCACGTTTGACCAGCGCTTGTTGTCCGACACGTTGCTCAGGGCCTGCAAAGTCTGAAATGGTTCACAAGTGCATCATGGGGCTGAATTCTGTTTTCTGAAATCCAACCATTCGCACCCAAGTACATGAGGAACATCCACAACACGAGATATAGTCGGAGCCAGCTGATAATGAGCTGATCATAGAGTAACGAGTGCAAACAGGGGAAATGATGAATTAACTGACATCCTCTCGCTGCACGTCGTTGGCTCAGGAGGACGCTGACTAACCTGCAGGAGCTTGAGGGGGTCGTCATTTTTTGAAAGCTCCTCCAGCTCCGAGTGCCTCCTCTGCAGCTCTGTGATTTCCACCTGCAGCTCTTGGATCACTGCTTTGTCTTTCACCTGTGATTTTCTGAGCTTTGTTTCTATGCTTGATTTTATTTTCGTTTGTATGGTTTGCACTTGACTGATCAGAGCATTGAAGAGCTGATCGCTGCAGTCCGTCTCTACGTGTGCTTTCTCCTGGAATCAAAAAAAAAAAAGCTTGTTATCAGCAAAGGTTCACATCATGTTGAAAAAGGTTGCATGTGTCAGCACGCGCCTCGGTACTCACTCTGCTCATCTCAGAGGATTCTATGAATTCCTTTGTCTTTTCGCATCTTTCCTGAATCATCATTTTTATTTCCGCTTTTTTGGACTCAATATTCTCCTGAAATTTAGAATTTCAAGGCAACAAATGGGATTAAAACAATCATCTCATCCTCTAAGATGTAAGTTTACATATTTAGGCATTCGAGAAGATGAACTCAGATGTTTTACTTTCTGCCGAGCTCCTTCTTCTTCCACCGGCACAGTCTCGTGCTCTTTGTGGTCTGTCTCGCTGCACAGCACACAGATGCACACCTTCTCGTTCGGGCAGAAGAGCTCCAGGATCCTCTCGTGCTTCTCGCACATCCTCTCCTCCAGCTTCTCCACCGGCTCGATCAGCTTGTGTCTCATCAGGGAGGGAACTCTCAGGTGAGGCTCCAGGTGGATTTCACAGTATGACGTCAGACACACCAGACACGACTTGTGGGCCTTGAACTTGAATTCTGTGCACACGTCACACCTGATGTGAAATAGCTCATCGGTGCTTTCGGTCGTCTCCACTTTTCTCCTCTTTATCTGGACGGAAATCTCCTGGATCACTGGGTTTGTGGAGACCTCAGGCCTCACGTAGAATCTCTTATTACAAGTTGGGCAGTCGCATAACTCGCTGCCGTCCCAGTGCTCGCTGAGGCAGGTCTTGCAGAAGTTGTGACCACAAGGTGTAGTGACGGGGTCGTTGAAGATGTTCACGCAGAGGGCACACTGGAAATGATCGTCTGACAACCAGGCAAAGTGTGAAGACATCTTGGACTCGCTGTGAGAGAGATCTATTTTCAACCTGTTTATAAAGTGAGTCATGATCCACCCAGTGAGTCATTTCCATGTGAATCATTTGGCTCTTCACATTTTTACAGGTCTGAACTTTAAAAAGCAAAAACAACAGAAAAGCAGTTTGAATGCAAGACGTACCTGAATCTCCAGAGTTTTGTAAATTCCAGAGACGTGATCTTTTACATGCAAGACCACAAACACTTATTAAGGCTCAAAGATGCAAGTACGGAGTCACAGGACTGAACAGCAACGAGCCCCGAGGAGCTGTGGGTGCTCCCGTCTCCACAGGAGGTGTGGCCAAGTGGCGTCAGTTTACTGAAATGAAACTTTGCTTCATGAAGCCAGAAACAAGAACATTTATTTTTTCTAAACCTTGAACACACTCGTCTTACAGCAAACAGGTCGTTCCTGCTTTAGTAAAAATCAACATGCAGTCATGAAGTAAGAATTACTTTTGTGTGTCATGCATTTATAATAACAGGAAATGAGCAGAATTTAAGAGGAGATCAAAAAGCAAAAATGGGAAAAGTGAAGCCAAATGGATGCACTCACAAAAAAAATTAATAAATAAATTGGTACCGTTTGGTTTCAGTAAGTTATTTGTAAAATGAAAACTCCTGCGTCCGTGTCTGGGATGTGTCAGCGTCATTTTTGGGAGGAAGTGGAGATGCAGTCGTCCTCCTTTACGTACAGTCTGTGTTTCCTCCCTCGTTCCTGTCTAAATTGCTAACGAGCTAGCAAGGTCAGGCTTTACGTTTAGCGTTTAGACTTTTCAGTGAAATCAATCTTCAACCAAAAAAGTGAGTCAATGTCTTATTTGACTAGACAGCAAAAAAAATCATTTCCCAAACAAAGAACTATCCTCTCGAGGTTTGAAGCCATGAGCTGATGTGAACACATCATGTGTATAATTAGCATGTTAGCTACAGTCTGTGTGTATAAATATACATTAAACACAGGATTTCATTTAAACACAGAAAACAAAACAGTCACTTTTCACTTTTCACGTTTTCACTGTCAGACATGTCCTTAGTGTTGCTTGATCGTGGTTTTCTCGTTCACGGGCCGGATCACGATGGTGTCCGAGGCTTTGTCGCAGCAGTACAGGTAGAAAAAAGGCAGAATCTTCTCCGTGAACGCATCTTTGAACGTGTAAATATGGGTCCGAGCTTTCACGTCGTAAAACGACAATTGGCCCTCCTCGTAGTCCACGTACACACCCACCCGCCTGGGCTTGGGGTCGAGGGGGAGCAGTAAGGGCGGAGATGTTGACACCCGGTACCCGTGGCCTTTCTTCATGGCCAGAGCCCAGTAGCCTTGAGTGGTGCTCACAGAGATCCGGCCCTTTCTGTTGACCGACGACCTGGCGACTCCCAGGTACCAGTCGTCCTTGTCCCCCACCTGGACCTCCCAGTAATGTCTCCCTGAGGTGAAGCCCTCTCGGCCCAGGACGATGACCACCGTGTCAAAGCGGTCAGGGTGGTCGGGGAGGTCCTGCCACGCTCCCAAGTGTCTCACCTGATGTCTGTCCTGAGAAAGCTGCAGCCATGGGTTGGCGCTGTCGGGGTCCAGAGTCACGTCCACTGTGGAAACACAGGGGATTTATTTTGTTGGTCCATTTCCAAATAGAAAACAGAAACAACAAAAAAAACTAAAAGAAGAAACTTTACCTGTGTAATTCAAAATCTTTTTGATCTCTGTGAAAAACAAAAGACAGAATTATCAGAGGATTTATTTCTTCCTCTGGAAACATTCAAGACAAACTGTGAATTTAAAGAAGGTCTCACCGCTGTCGGCCAGTTTGTCAATCAGTTCATTTAACAGCGGCTCCAGTTCTGACACGGACCTCCGGATCATGCCTACACACATGTCAGTGGGAACACTGGTGTCGGACCAGTCTTTGACGGATGGAGATGTGCTCAGTGCTGGGAAACTCTACAGTTAGAAACAAATATCAAATCACTTACTGCAAAGTGTTCGTCGTAAAGACAAGATGAACGATTGGAAGTCTCTATAAAGGATTTATTGTGACTAATGTTTCATTACAGTCACAAGAGATCTGGGATATTTTGGCTCGTTATCTTTCCTCGTCAACACAAATCACCTTCACCTTTAAGAAATGAATGTGGTCGGTCCGAGCCACATTCTCCAAGTCTGAATTCCTCCTCTTCAGCTCAGCGATTTCCTGCTCCAGGTCAGCGATGAGCCCCTCGGCCCACCTCTCCGTCTGCCTCTGCTTCTCCTCGATGGCCAGAACCAGCTCGGCCTGGGTCCTCTGGATGGATCGCACCAGCTCGGAGAAGACCTGCACGCTCTCCTGGATCTCTCCCCGGGCGCTGGCCTGAAAACACAGATCTACGTTGTGGTACATGACCCAGTCAGCAGCACGTTTGATCTGCGGAGGACTCACTTTGTTGAGCTCGAGAGAATGTTTGATCTCCTCCACCTTCTTCACTCGGTCCTGGATCATCTGCTGGACGTCTATTTCTGTCCTCTTCAGCTGAGCCTGCACAAAACGATTTCACAAACGAGGCAGACGACTTGGAGGTTTTTCGAATATCGGCTGATGTTTAAAAACATTTTTATTTAACAAAAAACCCTGAAAAATAAAAAGAATTCTGTGTCTCACCTTCTTCTCCATCCATTCTCGCTCCACGGGGACGGTGTAGTGCGCCCGGTGGTCGGTCTCCGTACAGAGCACGCAGACGCACGTCTGGTCCTTCTTACAGAACAGCTCCAGGAGCCTCTCGTGCTTCGGACACATCCTGTCCTCCATGTTGGCCACGGGGTCCATCAGCTTGTGCTTGGTGAACCTGGCGGAGTGAGACCTCAGGTGCTCCTCGCAGTAGGAGGTGAGACACACGAGGCAGGATTTGACCGCTCTCGGCCTCCCGTCCCCAAGGCAGACGTCGCACAGGACGTCCTCCCAGACAGGAAGTGGGGGGGAGGCAGACAGAGGTGAAGGTGAGGTTTGAGGTGAGGGTGGAGGTGATGTTTGGGGCAGTGGAGGAGGTGGAGCCTGAGCGCTGTCTTGGAGTGAGGGTGGAGGAGAAGGGTTGGGCGCCGACACAGACGGGATTAACGGAGGTAACTCTTCTTGATGTTGCTTCTTGTCCTCTGGGCTTTGCCTCGTTCTCTCCTCCTCTGGCTTCAGCTCCTCCACAAGCTGCTCCTTCTCCAGAAGCCTCTCCTCATCCTCCTTTTTCCTTCTCTCCATTGTCCACCTCTTCTCTTTCCTCTCTTCCTCCTGTGAGCTCACCTTCCCTTCCACACCCCTGACCCTGATCTCCTTGAACTGCTCTGCAATTTCCCTCAGCACAGTATTAACACTGATATCCGGCCGTTTGTGGAAGGACTTCTTACACATGGGACACTGGTACAAGGGGCTGGTTTTCCAGTATCCCAGGATGCAGTTCTGGCAGAAGTTGTGTCCGCAGGGGATGGACACGGGGTTGGTGAAGACGTCGAGGCAGATGGAGCAGTGCACCTGCTCTTCGGAGAGGTTCCCGGTTGTGGCCATCCCTACACGGCGGAGAGGCAGCGTCATTTTCAACGCAAGTAACCAGCCTTTGAACGGGGCATCAAACCTGCTGTGATATTGAGGTGGCTGTGGTTAGATGGCGTCATTTGCATGCAAATCCAGAAAGCAAAGCATGATGGGAATCATGAAGTGTTAGAAATCATAGACTATAAACATCCTGAAAACATTAATTATAATAATAAACTTTGGAGTTTGAAAATGAGATTAAAATAAGTACGGAGTGGAATCGTTAACAAAAATGTTGCAGCTCTCTCTACAGGACAAATTCTGTAATAGATAATCTGTCAAATGATTTATGATCCATGGTGTGTTGATACTGTGAGTAGTTCAATTCCACAGATTATAAACTACTTAAAATAATCATTTTCCTTAAATTTCCAACACCTAATCTTTTTAAACAAACCTGCATCAAATCCTTCAGCTTGCATCTGAACTTTAAAGACGAGCAGCTCTCTGCTTGAGGCCTTAGTGTTCAATGGAAGAGCAGATTCAAATCTTTCCAAAAATACAACACAAGCCTGCGACCGGTCCTGAACCAGAATCTGGGTTATTTTAAGTTCTAAGCATTTCAAGAGATAAAAAACCGAGGCCACGGCTCTTAAATCAGATAAACGCTCTTTTAAAAATCCCAAAATACAACAGCAACACCCCCTCAGAGATCAGAGAAGCAGATGTGAAAGTGTAAAAATGAAAAAAGCGAGCGCACGGACAGAAAAAGCAGAGATTTGGAGACACTCACCACAGAGCAGCTGCGTCGACACTCGGCTGATCACTGACACATGAGACCGACAGAAACCAAACTAACCCTCACCTCAGACCCAAAATACACCCCCCCTCCCTCCCAGTCCTCTCACCCCAGATACAAATTTACACCCCCCCGGTCGCGGCCCTGGAGAGAGCTCCGGGAGAGACAACACAAACTCAACAGTACTGATTCAAGTCAGTTTGTTTTCATGGCTTTAATTGTATTTTTGTTAAAGGTATAAAAAACATTTTTAACATTGATAATGTCAATAATTCAAATTTCTTACTTTCTCGCTTACTTACAGCAACAGGTTGCAGTTACAAAAATATAAGTGTTCTTACCAAGCAGTGTCTTGTTATGCTAAGCTAGTTAGCTTCACTGTTTACTCCTTTATCCTTTTAGCTTTGTTTTGGTCTCCACCGACTTCTGCGTCTTGCGAGTTTGACTATTAGCTTCACTTTACACACACGAGACAAAACACTGTGACTGATCATCTTTATTGAACAAGTTTAACAAGACAGTACAAAAGCAGGCACTTGATATAAAAATACAGCATCATGTCATGTTTTATTTAGCGGTCCTTGGAAACGTCCTTCACGTTGTACGATCAGAGTCATAGCTGCAATATGTAGAGAAAGCCTCTCATTTAGTTCCGAGCCTGCAGACGTAACATTAGCATCTATGCACTTCATTGTTTTTATCTGTAAACGACCTCCTGAACCAGGGCTGCACAAACTTCACTTATTTATTTAGTCCTTCACTGGATTTCACACATTTATATTCTTCTTCTTTATATACAAGCTAACACGGCACGACGGAACAACGGACACATACGTGCTTCTTTGTGATGTCGTCGGTTAATCCACGTTTCAGTTTGGTTTCCATCGACCAAACTTAACACAATTCTGCTTTAAAGCAACACTATGTAACTTTTACTGGGCAACAGCGCCCTCTGCAGCCACACAGGGGGCAATGAGGTGGTTTTCACAAAGAGAAAAAAAACAATTGAACATTGGATATTACCCATGATACACTGCTTCCTGACCCAGAAGAGCTGCTGCTGTGACAAATCCACCAAACTGTGTTCAGAGGTCTTCATGTTTTAAAGTTTGCTGCTGAACTTTGGAGATAAACTCTGGTTGTTAAGAACTTCTGAGCGTCGGAGTGAAGGAGGAAACTTTCTCCACGTTCACACTCGAACATCGGACTCATTTTAAAGCTGCTTCTTCAATAAGGATAAAAAAATGACACAGAGTTGCTTTAGTTTGATGGATTAACCGATGTTCGTTCTGTACAGACGTTTACTTTACTCGACAAATGCAACAGCCAGCTCATTCCATGAGGAGGTGTTGTCGTGGGTAATGTTTCAAAATATCTCAGGTGTGTTTAACAGGAGTTATAATGAGGGGAGAAGTGTTCTTTCCCTCCTGGACGAGACACGGGCTGAAGATCGGATACAGACTCTCGCTGAAGGAATCAGAAAAAGTGTAGAGATGCAGCCGCGCCTTCACGTCGTAGAACGAAATCTTGCCTCTGTCATAATCCAGGAAGATCCCCACTTTAGTGGGTTGGGCCTGCAGCATGAGAGGCAGGCGGGACGATGCCAGAGCCTTCACCTCCCCGTTCTTCAGCCACAGACACCAGAACCCGCCCTCAGGACTCAGCTTGATCTCGCCCTTGCGGCGAGCTGAAGCTCGGGCCACGCCGAGCGTCCAGGCCGTCTTGCGCCCCACGTCCACCTCCCAGTAGTGGCGCCCGGAGTTGAGACCCTCTCGGCCCAGGACGAAGAGGGCGGGGCTGAAGCGTTTAGGACCCTCGGTGTGGGAGGTCTTACGCTCCTCATACCTCACCTGGCGACCGTCCTCAGACACAAGCAGGTGCCTCTGGGCCGTGGAAGAGTCCAGGATCACCTCACCTGCACAGGGCGGAGCAGAGGTCGTGTCACTTTAACTGTCGAGCACCAATGTCAGACACTCTGAATGGCGCCATCTTGTGGGCGAGTAGGAGATCTGAATATTATATCACACTTAGGAGGAGTCCCAGGACAAAACACAGCATGAGTTCAAACCAGTAATATATCACCCAGATAAAAGCCTGAGGACGGACTCACTGGAGTAGTTCTGCACCTTCCGGAGCTCTGAGAGAGAGAGAGAGAGAGAGAGAGGGAGAGAGAGAGAGAGAGAGAGAGAGAGAGAGAGAGAGAGAGAGAGAGAGAGCAGGTGAGTCATTCAGAGTCAAAGTCAAAGCAGACGACAAACATGGAGCTCTGATCCTGAGACATGTGCTGCTGTCAGTCAACTCTGGGCCTCACGGACTAACTGTGGCATCAACACTATCTCCATCTGTCTGTCCTGCTGTGTGTGTGAGTGTGTGTGTGTGTGTGTGTGTGTGTGTGTGTGTGTGTGTGTGTGTGTGTGTGTGACATTAGTGTGATGACGAGTGATTTCTATTTCAAAGCACTTGGGCAGTGACCTACAGCTTCCTGTTGAGAGGATGGATTTTACTGTAGATCCACACAGAGACTGAGTTAAACTATAATATCCTGTGTTTCTTATTATTTTCTTCATTTTAATTCTGACACACTGAAGTATCTTCAACTCTGTGTTTTATGGTGACAGATGAACTCTGTGCAGCTTCCTTTACCTTTCCCGTACAGTCTTTTCAGCTCCTCCTGGAACTTGTCCATGAGGCTGCAGACGGACGAGCGGATGGTTCCCAGGTAAAGGTCGGTGTTGATGCTGACCGCCGACCAATCAGCGGGCTCCGGCGGGGGCGGCAGCGTCACAATATTCTGCGGGAAACAGGAGAGGCAGTGAGAAGAAAAGGCTAAAGATGAAGCTGCTGTGTTTTCTGTTCTCGATTTACGATGTGATGTTCCCCAGATTTCCAGATCGGTCTGTGTAAATACTAAGAGCCGTCTGCACGTCGTCAGTTTGACAGACGACATCGATGCAGGACTTTGTCCAGATCAGAAATCATCACACGCAGAGACTGTATCTGTCGTTGTTTGGGTGTTTCAGGCCTTTTTCTTTCTCCTCAAACCAGAGAATGAATCTGAATCTGCAAACTGAGCTTAATCAACATTTTATAAACCACAAGAGGGGACAGATCAACATCCTGTGCGACTCATAGACTAGACAGTATTTAAAGGTGTGTCTCAGGATCATGGGACTTCACCCAAAGTTGTATTGACGTTACGCAGCAAATGGAAATGAAGGTTTTTCGTTTCTGTCTCTCACCTGAAGGAAGATGATTTTGTCCTGGGTCTGTGCGTACGCCTCCAGCTCATTGCTCCTCCTCCTCAGCTGACTCAGTTCGTTCTCTAACCCCCGAGCCAGCTCCTGGGCGTGGCGCTCGTTCTCCCGCTGCCGCGTGGCGATCAGCTCCACCAGCTCCGCCTGACTCTGCTCCACCAGACGCTGCAGCTCGGCGTAAACCTGCCAGCTCTCCTCCAGCTCCTTCTGAGCGCTGGCCTGGAAAAGAGTCGGCAGACGAATGGATCTGTTACTGTTCCGCTTCTCTAACCAGTGTCAGTCAGGTGACGGGTCAGATAATCCTGAAATAAACATGGACGACGGCACAGCTTCCAAAACTGAAGCCAAAGCCACTCAATCAGCCCCCTGGTGACTGTCTGCAGTATCATAACCCTGCCTCCTCCAAGTTAGCAGATGGGACATGGACCAAATAGACAGTCGCGTGAAAAGTACATTTATCTCTGAGATGGTTTTTCATCTTATCTACTTCGTGTTCCGGACACTGTCTTTTAGAGAGTATTGATAAATAAGAAGCAGGAACTCTTCACAGAATTAAAATGCACCTTTAAAATCTTCAGAACCTGTAAAAGCACGTTTACGTTTTTTTTTACTTCCTTTTACACAAAGATGTGATGAGACAGAAACAAGTTTCTTTCTCCGTCAGTTCACAGGGTTTCAAATAAAAGTGTTAAAAACTAATTAGACTCACGATCAACTGGTTTAAGTTGCTCTTTTCATCCATTGTTTCCTGTGTGTGTGTGTGTGTGTGTGTGTGTGTGTGT